GTGCCTATAAGAATTTGCACATCGTATTCCCTGACATGAAATATGGGCTATTTCTGGTGGAGGAGCAATACTTGCACCAGTCACTTTTTGTTGGCTGTGTCAGGGAGCAAGGCCTGAATCCTGCTAAATTTATTTTTTTTTTTTCATTCAAGAGAAGCAAAAGGATCTGCAGCAGAAATGATGGAAATGTCAGTGCAGCGTGGTGTTTTTTTTTTTTTTTTTGGCAACTTCAGTCGAGAAATGCTGAAGAGTTTTTACCTCATTAAGGATTAATAGAAGTTTCTGACAAATTACAGAAAACGCTGTGTGGTATGAATTATCCAAGACTGGTTAGAGGATGTTGTCAGTCCATTTTCCATAAGACTTGCCTTGCTCCTGGAGGCTGAATACCTGAACAGGACCAGCTGTGAAGCTGTCCCAGTGCTCCCAGTGAGGCTGGGGCACTGGGCACGCAGCTGAAGCAGAGCCTGGGCTGCAGCCCTGCCAGACAGGGTTGTGCTGCTGGTTCTGGTGCATGGAAAGTAGGCCAGAAATCCAAGTTTAATCCCTGTTTCTTCATAGGGAAAGCAGCAAAGCAGCTCAGTGTCTGTCTAGCCATGAAGTTGTGGGTGTGAGATGTCTGTATGGCTTGAATTTGTGTTCAATAGCTTCACTGGAGCCAGAACATTGATCAAGTGTGACAAAGCAAGAACAATCTCATCTCTTCTGCATTCAAAACAAAGACATGACGCTCTTTCCTTGCCCCTTGGTGACAGTGGGAAGGGGAAAGAATTGGAGTGGATGCTTTGAGAGCAGGTCCCATTGCTGTGTGTGGTTCATGGGGCAGAGCAGCCTCATCCTCCTGCAGGTAAGGCACACCAGGAACACACTGATCCAAGGGCCACTGTGCCACGGTGGGAAGTAGAAGCTTGTTTTAAATGAGGTTGACTGAGGTTTGTTCTACTCTCTGCACATGATCAGGTTCCTGGCAGGTGACTGCAGTGTGCTGGATGGAGCCCAGGGCTTTCTGCTGATCCCCAGGGCTGGCAGAGTGCTGCAAACAGCCTCTCCTGGGGCTGAGGGCCTCGAGTGTCAGGTGTGTTCCTCAAGAGCTGTCAGGCCCAGCAGAGAAAGCACAACAGGGCCAAGGGTCTCATTGCAGGGGGAAAAACTCTCAGATCTTTGGGACTTTCTGGAAATCTTTTCCACAGCTGTGAGAGTGAGGAGGAAAAGGTGATGGCCACGAGGAAGTGCCAGAGTGCAAAGGGATCAGTGAAGAAACAAATAAGTAAGTATGAACTACATGGCAGGGTGGTCAAACAAACTCCTTCTTGCATGTGCTAAGGGAAAAATGTGGGTGTGCCCCAGGATTTCTGGATGAAATCCTCTCTGCTCGGCCCTGTCTGTGCTCCCTGGTGTGCTGTGAGCCCAGCTGAGCTCTGAGCTCTCCATCCCACCCCCCCTGGCTGGTGCTGGGCTGGTGCTGTGTCCCTCAGTGCAGATGAAGGCTGTTCAGAGAGCTCAGCTCGCTGCTTGCTAAACAGGCAGCTCTCTTCTTCAGGGTTGTTTGTCTGACACCTTTTCTGCACATTAAATTCACACAACACAGCCTTTAAAAGCAAGGGAAGCAGACTCTCTCCACGCCTCACAGCAAATCTTACATCAACAAGAACTTCACGTCTTCTGTTGTGCTGACTGGGATTTAACACTGGAGCTCTGCAGGGTGGTGGGCAGACCTCAGGGACTGAAATCTCACAGCACACACCTCAGTGTGTGCCCTGAGCTGGGCATGGGCAGTGATGTTGGTTCATGCAGTGGCAAATGGCACATGCCCAAGGGATCCATGACTGAAGGTGTTTGTGGTCTGGTAGTGGCAGGAGGAGCACTCAGGATTTCGTGGTGGTTGGTGGTTTTTACTTGTGCTGTACATGAATTTGCCTTTCCCTCTCTGTGGTGCATTTCCCACTCAGTTCTTTGGCCATGTCCCAAACCCACGTGTGCTCCTGTTGGGTGTGTAGCAGTGTGTTCCCATCCCTGTCGGCTCAGGTGACATTTCTTTCACATTTTCATGGTATATTCCTGAAGTTCTGGTAGCTGTTCCTTGCTTTTTGCTCTGCTGAGAGAATGAAAACTGAGCTTACAGCTCTCCCCTCCAATATTATATTCTTTTTCCTTTATGCAGCCCAATTGCTTTTATTAACTCTCCTAAAACACATTATTGGCTCCCCAGCTGAGGGATTTTGGTACAGCAGAACCTGCTGCAGGAGCAGTGCCTTTCCCACTGGGAATGCCAGTGACCAGTTTAATGGGCAGGTCCCACTTCAGCAGTCCTTAATATCTGGAAGAAGAAAATGAAGTCAATATCTGGAAGAAGAAAATGAAGCCATCACTTCAGCAGTCCTTAATACCTGGAAGAAGAAAATGAAGCCAATATCTGGAAGAAGAAAATGAAGCCATCCACATGCTTCTCACTCTGGCAGGGACCATGCAGAGCAGGGAATGATCACAAAGCCTCAACCTGGAGCAGGAAGAGAATAAAGCTCAGTGAGTTTAAGAGCTTTAGGAGGCATCTAGATGAGCTGCCTGAGCTCTGGCTGTGGGTGTAGGATCTTGCTGCTATGAGCTGTGTGTTTTCACTGCCTCATGAGGAAAGTGAGCCCAGAGAGGCTGTAAAACCTTGGATCCAGGCCAAACCCCAGCACTTCCTGGGAATCTTTCCATTGGCTTCACTGAGGCTTGGATGAAGTGGATCAGCCCTGACATGAGTGGGAGTGTGCACGAGGTAGGTGAGACCTTCCAGGATGTGTTTATCTGAAATGTGCACATCTTGCTCTTGAGTATCACTAAGGGGGCTAAGCAGCATCTTGGCTGGACAAAAAGTTGTCCCAGCAGGATAAGAACTCACCTAGAAATAACTTCTTTTTCCCAGAAGTATTGCAAGAAAGGGATGGCACCTCAGGAAAGGGATGAAGATCTTCCCATGGACACAGGATGTGCGACTGCTCCTCATGGGGTGATGAACACAGACCCCCAAACCTTGCTTTTCTCAACCAACTGCTCCTCATGGGGTGATGAACATAGACCCCCAAACCTTGCTTTTCTCAACCCCTGGCATGCCCAAGGGGATGATGATGGCTGGGCTGGGAATGCTGTTGTGCCTGTCACCTGCTTTGCTTGGATCAACCTGCAGTGTGTAGGTTTGGCTGTCCCAACCCAGGGTCACCCACCACGGTGGTCACACCAACTCCTTTCCTTTCTGTTTTTGCATGTGAAGGATCTCCCTAGAAACTAGCCTCTGTTTTCCTGAACAATGAATATGCAAATTGAGAATGTCAGCTCTGTACCCAAAAATAAGATTTCAAAACCATTTAGCATTTCAGAGTGGTTCTGTGACAACTTGAAGACTTGCAGTTGTCTCTCATGATGAGAGACAGGCAGAGCTCCTCAGCTCACACAGATCTGAGCACCAACCAATGCTTCATCCCCAAACTTTATCATATGTGTGTTATTTGTAGTGCTTTTTAACTTCAAAGAGCTTGAAAAACATTAATGCAGCTTCACAAAAGGCTTCTGTTCTCGCTGCCACTCTGCTGATGGGGAAAAGGGAGATGAGCCTGAGTCTGGCTGGGGCTCAGCAGAGCCATGGGCAGCCCCTCGAGCCAGCTCTGAATTCCTGGGGAACTGCTCAGGGTGTTGGAACATCTCATCATTTCAGGTCTCTTCACACTGATCAGAGGTTTTCTGTTAGGAATTCTATGTTTCTTTAGGGGTGTGAACACCCAAGTGTGGAGGGAAGGACACTTAGGTTCCCTTTTCTCCTGATTTTTAAATCAGCAGGTGAAAAAAAGTTCACTGCAAACCACAGACTTTTTTCCCTAGTTGCAGAGGGGGAAATGCTGAGCAGATTCTCAAAACTGACCTGTAAAAAAGAAGAGGTCTTTTAAAAAGGGATCATAAAAAAAAAGGTCTTTTTTGACTCTACCTCTTGCTGCTGGGGACTATGATGGTGGAGGGGATGGATGAGCATGTGTGGCTGAGGATCCTCCAGCCCCCCAGTGCTGCAGGTGGCCAGGCTGGGGGACACCCAGTCCATCTTGGCAGCTATTTGGAAGGATTGTTCCTAAAATGTGGTTGTGTATAGGTATGCAGCGAGCAAAGCAGAGTGTTCGTAAAAATCCCATTCACAGGGAACAAATGAGAGCTCTGTGCAGCAAACACCACCCAGAATTATACTGTCATTCTGGACCTGGTACAGTTTGATGGGCCAAGTGATTCATCCATCAAAATAATTTTCCAGGAAATCATGCTACTGGAAGATTATGCTTTTTATTAAAGGAAAATACCACTCTTCATGTTCAATACTTCTCGGCTTTGCCACTGAAGTTTAAGCAGAACATAAACTCTGTCTTGTGGGTTTTTGTGCTTAGTTCAGAAGAATGGAACTGCAGGGTGTAAATTTGGAGGGGGAACTTTTTATCCCAATGCTACACAAAGTTCTGTTTTGTTTTTATTTCAAATGTTAACAGTTTGAGAGAAGAGCATAAGGATCTCCAACTTATTCCAGAGTGATGAGCTAATCCTTCTGAGGAAAGGAGTAAGACAGAAATGGGGACATGGACTCCCCATGGAGCTGGAGTTTCTCACTGTCTCTCTCTGACCAAGTAAGGTAGAAAAGCCTGATATCCCTCATGGATCTACACAAAACATCTCCCTAAGGAAGTTGTCTGAGACAAAGGTTTTCCCCTCAACTCCATCAGCACAGAGCAGCCCCAAACTGGCACTGAGCAGTGCCATTCACCCACACCCAGGATGGTGCTGAGCGCTCCTTCTGCTTTCTTAAAAAAAAAAGAAAAGAAAAAGAGAAAAGAGAGAAAAAAGAAAGGAGAAAAAAAAAAAGAGAAAGAAAGCAATAATTCCAATCGAACATGCCTCGGTTCAGACGTGAAAAAAGTGTAGTAAGCCCCAGACATTTTATAAAATACCAATCTTTTCCAACACTCTGGATGTTTCCATGGGTGCTGGGGGTGTCAGTTCTCTGGTTCTGCATCCATGCAGGTCTCCCAGGGGTTCTGGGGGAAGCGAGGCAGAGCGATGAGCAGCAGGGCAATGCCACAGACGAAGAGCAGGACGAAGGAGGCACAGGCACAGGCGAAGGACCAGGAGTAACTGTACTCAATCCAGACTGTCTCCTTGCTGTCGATCATCCTCTTCACAGATTGTCTCATGACTTCAACAGAGATGATGATGCAGAGACCTGGAGGAAGATGGGAGCGGTGGGTTGAATAACCAGCTGTCAATTTTTCATCCTTAATTAACCACCTCATCTGTCGTTTTGCATACAGGAACTGCAGTGAGATTCACAGGTGAGTCACTGACTTTGGTGTTTGAAGGCACCAATGCTCAGAGCTGCCTAGAGCTCTGCCATAACCCAGGTTGGCTGGTGACTTGTGGAGTGTGATCTTCTAGGCAGGATTGGATGGGAAACTCAGTGTGGGGGAGGAATAATTGGATTCCCTGAGAAGCTTTTCCAGAGGTGGAGTAAGGTTTTTATCCAGGTGACAATTTGCACCTCTGTCTCTCACTCACTGTGGCATGTCAAGGTATTCCTGGCTCATATGAAAACGCAGTTTTCATGGTTTTGGGTGACAGTTGTGTATTTTGGGCCTGGATCAGCTGTTTCTTTGGTTTGAGGTTTAATAAATAGGATGGAATATTGTACATCCCTGGTTCAGACTGGGGCTGGCAATGGACATGCTAGAAATGCCCATTTTAAAGGGAGTTGCAGAAAATACAGACAAACTGTTGGGTCATGCTCACTGAGCAGGACATTCTCATACCACACAGGGACTTATAGTCTGACTGTGACCAGGAAGAAAATGCCACTTTCAGGGCATTTTTAGAAGTGTCTCCACCCTCCAGGATCTGTCTGAAGGTTCCCTATGCTGTTGTATGAACCAGGTGCAGGTGTGTGAGCTCCCACCTGCGAAGGTGTAGAACATTGATGCTGGTTTCAGCAGATAGTCTCTCTTCTTCCCAAAGGACAGGAGGACACAGACTGTTCCGATGATGGCAAAGCCCACGCTGAAGATGGCAATGGCTGCAGCTGAGATGCTGTATTCTGCCAAGGCAATAGCAAACCCACCAGCAATGACACTGTGCACACTCTGAGCTCACCACCACCAGCTGTGGTAGGTCCCCCTAGAAATACATGTGCTCCTGGTGCTGTGGCAAGGTGGATCTGGTGGATTATTTCTCTTGAGTGAAAACAGGGTCAAGTATTGGCCATGTATCTTTGGAATGTGAGGGGGATAGAATCAGAGCAGGAGTGGGAAGCACTTTCTGAACACTTACTAAGAGAGCACAGGGCACCTTTGCTCATCAGCCCACCTGGATGGGGCTGATGGAGTGCTGGGCTGGAGCTGGTTTGGATCTGCCACTTAGCTGTTACTAAAGCCTTACTGGGCTCCACACTTGCTTCTTCCATCACCCACACTCTGCTCTCAGGGTACATAGCAGTGGGCTCAGCATCCAGGCAGGCACAGCAGGCCAGGGCTGGAGGGTTTGCACTGCACATTTGTAGTTTTTTGCCTTAAAGACAACAATTTCCAGCCCTGTGCAAACCCAACATCTTCAGGGCATGGGATTAAACCCCCTCCAAAAGTCCTGGTCTTTGCTAAGGCAGCTGAGCTGTGCCCTGGCCACTTCCCCCAGCCCCAGTGGAGGGGGAGAATTGCCAAGTGTCTAATTCAGGCCTTCGTTTGCATATTGTGTTCATTTTCAGATTAGTTTAATATTTAACACATGTAGCCATGCGTGAACATCACAGTGCCTGATGATATTTGTCTTTCAAGCCATTAAAAAAAAATATCTCCCAGGCAAAATCATGAAGAATTTTTTTTTGCCTGTTACTAATTAGCTCCCATCCAAACGAGCTGTTTCTGCGAAGGGGAACAGCAGATCACTCTTTGTTCTCACTGCTTTTCATACCACTGGTTTATTATCATTTCCTTAATGTTTCTCTGTGCTGGAACTGCCTGAAAGAGGTCTTTTTTTTTTTCCATGTAAAAATCTTTTGCTGGGCTTAAGCTTTTCTTTTTGCCCCAGAGAAAAGAAGTTCTTCCTGATTTTATTTTTCCTGCAATGCCATGAAGGCATTGGGTGTGTTTTTAAGATCAGGTGGCTGGATCTGATGGTATATAAGTGAGCAAGAGCAGGTGGCTCAGATATATGCTCTTCTATCCCCTTAAAATTCCCAGTCTTTCCTGTCTTAGGACACTGCTCTTTTAGAAAACCTGTCTGCAGGGTTTTCCACCCTTATTATTTTCACTGGAAGCAAAGCAGATTGTTCAACACATGTAATGGAACCATCAGCTCATTTACTCCACAGTGAAATATCTTGTGTGGCAATGCAGGGAGGAGTTTGTCCTCGATGGGGGATGAGAAAGGGGAGCCCTCCAAATATTTGGCTTTGTCAGGGAGTTATTAGCAATGTGAAATTTGCCTGTGAAAGGCTGTTTGTCTGTCAGCACTGGCTGTGCATGTCTTTGTAGGATCCCTGTTCCTTCCATCCATCAGCCACTCTGGTTCTCACATGGCTTTCATATAAAATCAATACAAAGCATAAAATTCCTAATGGTCTTCAGAAAGCCTCTGCACTTCTTTTCAGGGTCAGGACTCTGCTTGGGGTATGATTTATTCATTTAAGTTTTATTAATATCTTCCCCCTTCACTGGCAGTGAGTGCTACAGATAGTGGCCAATGCTGGAAAGTAATTTTTATGCTGCAAAGACTTTTTGCAGTTTTCCTGTGTATGGACATTGTTATATATTTGTGGGACAACTTTTGTAAAAAAGAACCAACAAACTTGTTATAAAAATATCTCCTCTCAGGAAGCTGGGATTTGACCTTGTCCAGGGCATTTTCCACAGTTTTCCCAGCTGATGGTGTCTGATAGAAATTCCTCTGCTGCTGTCAGTGGAACCAGGGCTGATCCTCACCTTAGATCTTGTGTGCCCATCAGTTCATGCAGTGTTAGGAAAATATTTCTTTGGAACCATTCTTACCTCTCTGGGTAGTGACTTCAAATATCTCTGAGGTCTCTCCTGGAGTGAAGTGCTTGAAGTAGGAGCAGTTGTGGACTGAAAGAGAAAACAAAATTCAATTTGGTGTGCTTGGAAACCTCTGCTCAAATGTAGCAAAACTGAATTTGCTTTTTATTGATGTCTCAAACTTGCAGTGTTTTTGAGTCTCACTACCCTTGGTGGTGCTGGGAAAGTGGAGTTGGGTCTGTTTTCCTCGGGAGCAGATGAGGACACACACATGGCAGGACACCAACTCCAGCAGGGACAAGGCTGAAGTCCCTCTGATACCTTTTGTGGGCTGCTCCCTCCCAGAGCTTTGCACACTGATTGCTCATCTGTTTAAAATATGAATTACGGTTAATTCTTCTCATTCTGCCTTTGGCCACCACACGTTTCTGCCTCTGTGTTGCTGTGTTTCCTGATGATGAGACCTGCTGTGCCCTCAGCTGAGCTGGCAGCTCAGCTCACCTCCCCTCACTGCTGCCAACCCACCCACAATCATCCCACCCACCACTGCAAGGTCACCCCTCCCGTGGTGACTCTGGAGCCCAAAAAGGGAGGATGGAGTGTCCTCATCCACATTCTCCTGCCTGGCTCTTCCCTCTTCCAGCTCACAGCCCACAGTGCAGCGATGGCAGTGGGGACCAGCCCAGGGGGATGTCACCACCACAGGAGGGTCCCAGAGATCAGGCTGCTGGAATGCAGCAAAGCACATGGTGTTTGACTCAACTAGAGACACTGAGGGTTGGGTTTTTTTGCCTGTCAGTAAAAAAAGACCAAAGCTATCTGAAACCCACACAGTTGCACGGGGAAGGAAAAGCTGTATGAGGTGAGGGCAAAGAGGTCTGTGCAGCTTTATCAAAGTGCAATCCCATCAGAGGAGTCTGTTAGTTTGATAAGACAGAAGAGTTAGGTAGTGGGGACTTTTTGATGTTCTTCTCTCTGGACTTCACATGAGCACAGTGCCAGGCACAGGGTGTTTGGAGAGGGGCTGTGAACAGGGTCAGTGTTCTGGGACAGAGGAAAATGGGGAGGAGGGAATTTGGTAGCTGAGTCTCTCCATGGCCACAGTATTGTCTCCTCCTCAGCCTAGCAAGGCTCAGCCAGTGGAGCAATGTCCCTGCTGCCAGCAGATCCATCCATGGGAAACTTTCATCCTCCCAGAGGGATGGGAAGGGTCTGGTGAGGAGCTGCTGACTCGGAGCTTTGGCAGCAGCAGGGTTAGGGTGGAGGGTGTTCTGGCTATTTATAACGGATTTAATTGCGGGTTTGAAGGGGTGTGGAGCTGGGAGAACAGTTGCTTGCCAGGAATTTGGCTGGGAGGGAGCAATCGTGGGGCCACGCTGAGCAGAGCCAGCTCTGATTGCACTATTCTGCTGAGCAGGGCTGGAGAGACACACTCAGCCTGCCCCAGCACCCTCTGACAGCCCAGGGTGGGCTCCCACAGCCTGGGGAATGGTGAAAAGGCTGCAGGAAACACAGGCACTGCCTGAGCAAGGGGCTGCTCCCTTATCTCCAGTGTCTTGTCCATCAGATGATGGAGGTAGCACCAGCTCCCAGGAGATGCTGGGAGAAAGTCTGGGAGGATGTCGTGGTCCTCTCCACACCCAGGCTGGGACAGGCTGCTCCAGGGCAGGTTTCAGGGTGAAGGACCATGCAGGGAGTGCTGTGTGTTTCTGCCTCTGGGCACTAGAGAATTTTGGTGGGTATGGACAGCATAAATTTCTCTGGCAGAAGATCCCAGAGCACTGTACGTTACCTGTTGGTTCTTGTGGGATTTTTTTCCTGTGTAAATGGTGGATGCTGGAGTTACTGATTCAAGGAGGATTTATTTTCCCTTTCCCAGGAGACAGGCAATTGCAAAGCAGCATTTTTTGGCCTGTTAGTGCAAGATTCCTTTGAGACACTCTTATCTACTTAATTTTATAAGCTGACTTTTATTTCATCTGCAGATTCTCCTTGCTGGAGACGAGGTTAATGTTTAGCTCTGGCATCTCTTGACCCATTCTTTATTATCCTTGCAAACGTCTGGAGGAAATATATTTAAACTCAGCCCTCTGTGACTGCAGTTGTGAATTCTGAGCCTCAGAGCAGTGGTTGTGTGCTGGGCCAGCAGCTCAGTGGTGGTCGAGGCTGAGCTTTATGTCTGGAGATCCCAGTTTGGAAGGAGATGGGATGAAACTGGGGCACTTCCTTTTGTGGTTGTTTGGTTTGGCTTTTAATTAATTCTCTGAAAAGCCTGAACTGAAGGAGTCCCAGGCACGTGGACAGTACAAAGCCCGAGGTGAAGCCACCCAAAGGTGCTGTGGTGAGGGACACAGCTCTGTGAGCACTGCAGGTGAGCCAAACCAGCCCAGTCCACTCTCCACCCTCTCAACCCTTCCTTTAGAGATGGATTTGCCTGCAGGAGATGGAGCTGCCTCAGTCTCTTGTGGCTTGCAGCAAAGCTCTGCCAAGGCATGATAAAAGGGGTCATCACACAAGTGGGTTAGCTCTAGGGGAGGTGTGTTTGAAAAATGCATTTATTGTGGGAAAATATAACTAGATTGTTTTTGTAAAACGATAGATTGTTTTCAGTTTTCAGATGCTTCCATGCTCTGCTGGGCTGGGATATCTCTTTCAACAAGGCTCCCTGTTATTCAGGTGAACTGAGGCCCTTCAGTGCCTCTCTGCTGGCAACAGGAATGGGAGAAAAGCCATTTGTGACACACCACCTTTACATAATGGACAGGATTTACACTGGGTTTGAGAATGGATGAAAACTCGGTAGCAATCCCAGTTTTTCTCCACCCCAGCTGCATTATCTCTGCCACGAGGTCACCTCAGTGTGCTGATGGGGACAGGGCAGGGCTCTGTGGTCACAGTAACTTCATGTGGTTTATCACACAGTGTTCTCCCCCTTGCAGGTCATCCACACTCACAGCCTTCCTGCTCCTTCCCCCTCAGATCCATCACTCCTGGATGATGGCTGTGTGGGGAAAATGAGCCAATTCATCTTTCCTCTCTTTGTGCAGAGCCAACCTCTCCTGGATGCAGCCATGGGACACAGGGGAAGTGCAGACCTGTTGAACTGTGGGTGAACCCTGGGGGACTGCAATTTGGAGACTTTATGGGGGAAGAAAGGGTGGAAGAACCACGAGATGTTGGGGCCATGTGGAGTTCCAAGCAGGAGCTGTCCCCCATGAGCACTGGAGTGATGGGCTGGGAAGGGTTGGAGCTCACCTTGCTCTTGAACCCGAGATGGACACAGTGTGTGGGGGTTTGTGGCAAGGTGGATGGTTAGAAATCCTGGATTTTAGTGTGAGGTTTCCACTTGTGTTAAGTTTGGGTGACAGGATCTGCTGCTGCAATTAGAGGAGGTGTTAAGGTGAGGGCTGAGTGGTGGCAGGTGCTAAACCTTGGGCTGTGACCTGCCCAACAAGTCCTTTGACACACACAGAGTTCTGGAAATGCTATTTCCAAGTAGTTTAATTTCACACCTGTCCTGCAGAGTGAGTGTCTTGTATGGATGAGGGGAACAAGACAGCCCTGCTGATGACCCATTTGCTCAAGCACTTTTCCTCTCTCTGTATTTCCAAGGATCTGTTTAAGCTGTTGAACACCTCTGCTGCTGCCCAGAGCACCCACTTTGCAGGACACCACCAGCACTGGAGTTACTGGCAGTGCAGCCAAACTCTGTTTACAGCCAGGAGTAAAACTGCCCCAGTGCCCACCGACCACAGTCAAACATGTGTCAGTATTATTAATCTGAACTTCCCTGGTTTGAACAACCATCTCCCTGATTTTTTATTCCTTACAGCAGGATGCTGAGCCCTCTCCAATTTGTCAACACCCTCAGAAGGGTGCTGTAAAATTTTAAAGCTCTGCCTAAATCACAGCCTTGCTTTGTGGACTGTGAGCCAAGTCACCCTCCCCGCTCTGCACCGTGCTGAGCTCAAACCCCAATAAATAACGTTAATCATGCCATCCATTTCCTCCACAGGGAGCGACTGGTAAATGGTTATTAATTCAGTGATAAATTCTGATGTTTCTTTTCCAGGCCTGGCAGTAATGTCTGGTTCTGTCTCCTGATTTTCAGGAAAAGCAGTGCCCACATCTGCTCTTTTACTGCACGTTTGTTCATTCACGTTTCTCCGGTGCTGCAGGTTCTGCAGCCCTGGTGTTTCCCTGCTGACATGCCTGCCCAGAAGTGTGAAATCAATCTAGCACGAGTGTGCAGCCCCAGCATCACTCAGCAGCCTGAGCCTGGGGGCTCTGCTCCCCCTCCCCAGGCTCTGCTCTTAGCCTGAGCCAAACAGAAGAGATTTGTCTTCTAATTGAGGTGCGAATTTCACCCTCCAAGACCTGATTATGACTCAGGATACCATCCAGATCCCCAAACATCTCTGCAGACTGGAAAACCAGCTCTGTTGTGGGGTGGGCTCGGCCCCTCCATCATTCCTGTAATTCTGTGCCTGGTGGAACAGCTCTGGGACAGGATTCAAAGCCTGTGCAAGCACATGCTGATGTCTGTCAAAGATAGTGGCTGCTTTGCTGTGCTCTGCCTGTGAATCTGCTTTGTGCAGACAGCTGGATATTTATGAGCTTTATATTTACCCCAGGGTTGTGCAATTTTGCTGTTTATCCACCGATTTCCATTGTTTTTCCTTCCGTGGGAGTTCTCCGTGCGCAAGGGAAGGCGAACGGTGAGGGAGATGTTTCCAGGCACGTAAGTACCTTCGTGAGAGACATTAAGCATATGGATGACACACTCCCAAGTTTGGTTAGAGGCAGATCTGCATGCTGAGGCTCAGCTCCTCTCTTCACCACATGTAATTTGGCCAAAGAGATAAAGAATTGCAGGAATACAGGGAATATACAGTCAGCCCAGGCAGGAAGATTTTTCACAGGAAATTTTCAAATGCGTGTTAACATATATTTCATTTCAAGCAGAGAGTCTGACACGAAGGCAATCCTGTTATTTCTGTTCTGGAAAGCATCCAGTCCCCTATAAGCCTCCTGAAAAAGCAGCGTGGCTCAGGCACGGAGGGAGTGTATTAGTGCGAATGGTGCTGACTTGGCAATCAGCAAAAACATAATGAGCTCCTTTAACCATGGGGATGGAACAATCTTCCCGGAAAGCCTCTGAGCCCACTGCCCTCCCCATCCCTGAGCTGGAGCTGCCCGTGCTGGAGATGTGTGTGGGAGCAGGTGTCTCCAGTGAGAGGTGAGGAGGATCCGTAAGTCCTTGAGAAATTAATTCAAACTCCATTTATGACTCTTTTTTTTTTTTTTTTTTTTTCCTGGAAGCTGGCAAACCATACTGCAGGTCCCTTTTCCTCCCTGCCCTGAGGAATGGTTGTTATTGAAAGAGCTCAGAGATAACCCAATGCCTGCCATGAACGAGCTGCTCCTCTGCCTCTATATGGATCTGGAAATCCTAAAGATCCAGCTAAGGATGGTGGGCCCATAAATCCTGCCTTGCCTGCTGCTGTCAGCGTGCCTGGGTGCTGCACAACCCTTGGCTGGGATTCAGCAAAATTTCCTCCATCCCAATCTCCCTTTGTGATTTCCACCGAGTTTGATCCTCCTCCCGTTCTCCCAGCACTGTCGCCGTTGCACAGGAGACTCAAATATGGTCACAGACAGACGTGCAAGGCAACACAGAGCACACTCACAGCAAGAGGGATGGCAACAAGGTGTCTGCATGAAAACAGCCCCATGCAGCCCCACGCTGAGTGCTGTGGGACACAGAGCCTATTTTCCTCCTGCCATGTCCTCCAACCTCTTAAGCAAAGCCTGCTGTGACTGCCTGCTGATTTCTCACACACATGGGTGGCTGGTCCCATACCTCCTGGCAGGTCCCCCCATCCCAAGCTAAGCAGAGCCTATTTTCCCATGCAGCCCCACGCTGAGTGCTGTGGGACACAGAGCCTATTTTCCTCCTTTCTTGCTGTGCAACCTCTTAAGCAAAGCCTGCTGTGACTGCCTGCTGATTTCTCACACACATGGACTGGTGGTCCCATACCTCCTGGCAGGTCCCCCCATCCCGCTGTGACTGCCTGCTGATTTCTCACACACATGGACTGGTGGTCCCATACCTCCTGGCAGGTCCCCCCATCCCAAGCTAAGCAGAGCCTATTTTCTTTCTTGCCATGTATACCTCCTGGCAGGTCCCCCCATCCCAAGCTAAGCAGAGCCTATTTTCTTTCTTGCCATGTATACCTCCTGGCAGGTCCCCCCATCCCAAGCTAAGCAGAGCCTATTTTCTTTCTTGCCATGTATACCTCCTGGCAGGTCCCCCCATCCCAAGCTAAGCAGAGCCTATTTTCTTTCTTGCCATGTATACCTCCTGGCAGGTCCCCCCATCCCAAGCTAAGCAGAGCCTATTTTCTTTCTTGCCATGTATACCTCCTGGCAGGTCCCCCTCCTAAGCAAAGCCTGCTGTGTCTGCCCAGTGATTTCTCCCGCGCATGGGTGGACGGTCACCTACCTCCTGGCAGGCTGATGGGCCCACAGCCCTTGTCTTTGGCACCTTGCTCCTGCACGTAAATCCTCTTGATGCAGAGCCTCCAGAGCCCGAAGTGAGCCGCCTCGCAGGTGGCATTGTACTCCTCCACCTTGGGGCTGAGCACGGCCCAGTGGTCGGTGACCACGGCGGCGAAGAGCAGCGAGATGCCCACCAGGATCACGGAGAACGTCAGCCGGACCTTCAGGGGTTTGCTGCCGTCCATGCCGCTCGGCGCCGGGGCGATCCGCGCGGAGCCCCGAGCTCCTGGCACATCTCAAAAGGTCAGCACGGGGTGGCCGTGGCAGCTGCTGGGCTGTGTCAGGAGGGAATTGATGCCCCGAGCTCAGCTTTCGGCCCTGCACACCCAGGGCAGAGTGGCCACAGCCTCCAGGGCTGTCAGTGCTCCTCTCGCAGCATGCCCAGAAATAGGCATTAATAGGACCATTAACTTTTCCACGAGCTTATAAAAACATCTGTGTTTATAATAGTGCTGGGCCTCGGTTCAGGAGGATCCTAAGCAGTTTAATAGCCCTGGAGTCTGTGTGCTGCACTCCCATGCCTGTCAGCCTCGGGCTGGGGTCCCCCCAGAGCACAAAAATGCACTGCAAAGTGGCAAAATAAGGCAACTTATTGATTATTTATTTACATTAGCATTATTTTTCATTGACATGAAGTATTTTGACTAACTGTTGGAGGGGGGATTTTTCCGTTTGGTTTTGGGTTATTTTGGGAGGGTTTCTTGCTGGGGTTTTTTGGTGTTTCCCCCCCTTACTTTTCTTCATGCAAAACCTCTCAAGTACTCATTTGCTTTCCCACCATCCAGGTTTGCCTTGATGCCTACAGTGACTCCAGCAGCCTCTCAGCACATCCATTCCTTCTTCCAGACCTGATTTCCCTCGCCCTGAGCCCGGATTGCTGGGCCAGCTGCTCTCCTTCCCTTTGATATTTCAGCTGATTGTAAAGCTAATTTGATGATAATGTCAATGTAGAGGCCACTGTGGAGGTGACATTACAATTGTGATGTCAAACTGAGGAGGGTGACAGCACCTGAATGTTAAAAGAATGGTTAAAAAAAATGCCAGCGGAAAGCTGCAAATATCATTGTGTCAAGATAATGTCAGAGCTACTCCAGTCCTGCTTTATGAACACCCCGAGCTTGATGTCAAAATAAAGGTGCAGAAGTGTCAGCTCAAATTGATGAGGACAACGTGGAGAAAGGTGGAAGGAGAACATGGGAAAGGGAGAGAAAATTAAGGGGAAGTTAAAAAAATGTTGATCCTGAATCACTGTAATTGAAATATTACTTAAAGGGGTTAATGTTTCTCTGCCTGATGTGTGACAGGGCTGGATTAGACACCCCTGGGGAGCAGGGGCTGAACCTGGAAGGAGAGTCCTGCTGGGGATGTGGGGACTGTGGGGAGGAGAGAAGGTACATGGTACAAAATCAGTGGGAAGGGGCCAGGGAGGGCAGTGGGGACACAGAGCAGGGCAGGGAGCAGAGACCACAGCACATCGTGTTGGGGTGACAGGGACATTAGAGGCTCCCACTGAAACCAGAACCAAGAGTTCTCATGAAAGCAGAAAAGCCTGAAGGGACCAGGCTTTAAACCAGAAAAGGAATGCATTAAAGATGTAATGCCTTCGCCTTTGAAGTTGGCTCTTGTTAAATTTCACTAGACATCAGTCGATCTTGGGAGCTGCATCCCAACTTTGCTTCCTTGATGCTACAAATTCCACAGGTGGAGCAGAGGGAAGTGAAAGGTGTGTGCCAGTGTGGGCACAAAGCAAGGTTCTGGTTGCTGAGGAAGCAAGTGCTAATGATCCTACTTTAGACTAATTACAACCTACAAGGGCTGCAGGGAGGGACTCATTAGTTTTTTTGTTGGTGTTTGTATCTCTTCCAGTGTTGATGTGAATCACATATTTTGTTCTCATTTAGGTCCTTCGATCTGGGTAATTCTATGGGCTTGGGTTTGTTCTGAGTTTCCTAACAATTTCCAGGAAATAGCTAAAGTGAAATCAGAATGGAGAAAGTCAACCTTCCCTCCTCTGCTGTGTGGGGCTGGGAGTGATGAGCATTGACATGAGCAGCAGTGGCTTCCCTGGAGACTGAAAGCTCAAATTGCTGCAGCTGAGGTGAAATATTGTCCCCAGCCCAAAAAAATTACTTAGAGCCACCAGTCCATGGAAAAAAGGGTATTTTGTGGGTTATTGCTCCCCAGTGGCTCTGTGGGTTGGCTGCAGGAGCTGATGTTCTCCCAGCACAGACTCTGTGCTTTAGGGACTGCTGGCAACTATTTGGTGATCAGCACTTGTGGCCTCTGCAGCTGTCCTGGTGAGAGCCAAAAAGCTCCTCTGCCCCTGGGCTGAGCCTCTGCCCCAGCTTGGGAACTTCTGTCCCAGCATGGAGGCGAAGTCACCTTCCCTGGGGCTGGAGAGTTCCGTGGGGCAACTGGTCAGTGCAGGAGCAAAACAGATTTCTGGAGGAGCAAAGGACTACGGGAAGCCCTGAAAGTTTTCTGTATGTCCAGAAGACCACAAGACCTAATCCCCTGGGAATGGTTCCTGCAGTCTCCCTGTGTCAGCTGGCAAGTGTTCCCATCTAGAAATCAGGATCACACGAAATATGAACAGACTGTTAATGAGGGTCTGTTGGGATGCAGGGAGGGTTGCAATTAGTTGCACTTTAGCAGCAGCGAGTGAGGGACACAATTCTGTTTCTCTAGTGGAGAAAATGCCAAAGGAGGTGCCTGAAGCCCAACTATTGTGTTATTTTTTCCCTGGCAGAGGTGGTGGGTTGGCTCTGCTTCCCAGCACTTCTGCATTTCTTCCAGAGCAGCCTCAGTATGATCATGTCCCGATGAACCAGATGCCGTGGCTCTGTGTTTGCAGGATGATGTCCTGCAGAAGACCCTTCTCAGGTGAGAATAACCCAGAGAGGGGGTCATCACACTTGGTCTGCTCTCAGCTCAGATACAAGTTCAGCAAACAGCTTTCTCCACACAGAGGCTCCTCAGCAATATCTTCTCCTCAGCCTGCATTGCCCCAGTGCAGTGAGACCATTGGCATCTTGGTTGGTTCTGCATGACCAACACCCAGCAGTGCTGCCAACTGCACCCTCTGAAAGCTCCTGGCTCTGGGACTGAAATCCTGCTGCCCCTGAAGGCAACTGGGAGATGTGAGTGTGTTTTGGTTGGGTATTTAATTTTTAACAGGCTCCCACGCCACTGTACACAGCCCAGGCTGGTCCACAGCTCTGCTCTCCTGGCATTCTGCTGTTTGTGCCCTGTGGAAAGTGATCCTCTCTGCCCTGGGGAAGCACAGCAGTGGCAGCTGTACACTGAGCAGGACTGCAGACAGCTGCAGAGCTTCTTCAGCCTCCTTTATTTCCAGCACCACCCATGTTTGTTCCTCTCCCCATTCCAAGGTAACGCCACATCTTGCTGGACTCCTTGCACTTCCCAAAGTCGTGAGGACTCTGTCTCCCTCCTCAACCACCACCACTTTTCCATCCCCCCTGACCACAGCAGGGCAGCCACAGCTCCTGAGCTCAGTGACTTGCTCAGCAATGTGGGAAGGGCCTTGAATTATTTCAGTCCAAGGGATCCAGTTTGGGCTTGAGCTTTAAATGGCTTCGCTGTGCGTGTCAGAGGCATTTGGAAAGATGAATCTCTGCCACCCTCCAGACGCGCCGATCCATCCCCCTCGGGGAGAGGCTGGTGGGGACACCAGGTCTTCATCCTTGGAGACAGTCTGGAGGCTGAGGAACTGGGAGGGAGAGTTAAAAGAAGCGTTTGAAGAAGAAATATTGCCTCTGATGGTTTGGGATGTCTGGGGAGCAGGGAGAGACTTCTGAACTGCTGACCCGTGTTCATCCTGCCCAGATTTGGTGGTGGTGAGCAGAGCAAGGCTGTGAGGAGCTGCAGCACGTGGGGTTGGGTTTTCTCCAAGTGAAATGGGCAGGATAAGGGTGAGGAGGATGCTTGGAAACCTCGAAAGGTGGAGGAAAGCAAAGGCTCAGGGCAAACACTTCAGAACACACTGGGCTGTTCACATCAGGGGTGGTTTGCAGTTGCCTCTGGTCACCACACCAGGCTCAAACTGGCACTGAAACCCCAGTATGCCTCATAGGGGCCAAGTTTAAGCTGGAAACCAGGTTTTTCTTAGTGAAGATAACTTATCTTGGAGATTTTGTGGTCTGTGGGACCACAGCATAGTTTTGTCTCCTCTGCTATATTGGCTCCCAGTAACACAGGCAGCTGCAATCAAACAGGGGCAGGCATGAAAAAACAAACAGAAATCACAGCTCAGGGCAGCTGGAAATGAAAAATCTGTATACCTTTCTCCACACAAACCCAAATACATTTAAAATGGTTTATTTAAAAAGTAAGGATTAAGTACATTATACATGGTTGTGATTATACCAGCAGAACTGAAGCACAGTGGAAATAACACTTTAGAACTGCAGACAGAAATGGAGCCTCAAGGGACGTGATATATTAGCCCTTGTGGATATGTGATCCATACAGAGAGAAAAGGAAATAGAAAAATAGTTTATTGTTAGATGTCTGGGCAGCTGAAGTGATTTCTCCTTTTACTCCTATTGTGTATGAGAAACGAGGAAGAGAGAGCTGATGATATACCTGAAACTTTGTTTCCTGGAAAATCAAATCTGATCCAAGAGCATTTTTTTTTTTTTTTTTAGGTCTGCTGTTACAGTATGTTATATACCAAAAGACTGCTTATTGTTAATGATATGGTCCTGTGATATCTGCAGGCCTTGCTGAGAAATGGGGCTCATTTGTTCAGTGCTGTCCAGGGAAACCAGAGAGATGTGGAAGAACAGATGATTTTCTTTAAACCAGCACTGAGTGGTTTCAAAGTCTGAGCACAATCTAACGGCTCAGCTGGCTCAGCCATGGAGCAAGACTTCATGGGCA